GTGTGTGTGTGTGAGTGAGAGAGAGAGAGAGAGAGAGAGAGGATGAGGATGAGGATGAGGAGGAGGAGAAGGAGTTGATTTGTGTCTGAAGGCATCCTTTCCTGATCTGTTATGTTGAAAAAGTTGAAAGATCTCTGAATATATACAGTTAAGGTCCTTCAATGCTTAAGTTTTCATTTTTTCATTATATAATATGTACATATATATATATATTTGGGTTGAAGTATTTATATCATGGGATCGATAAAGACCTTTGGGTTCATTGATCAGGTTTCTGGTTCTTCTTCTTTTTTTTTGAAATTTATTCAGAAAACAAATTCTGAAAACCAAACCAATTTTGTTTTGTTTCCACCTCCCCCTCTGTATGCCAAGTGTTTGTTGCTGCAGTAATTATGTATACTGATTGTCTAGACTGGAGTTTTATATGTTAGAACTGAATTTTACATTATATACTTGGTTCCAATCACAGTACACCAGTGCATGTTTAAGAGGTGCCTGCCCATGAATACTGTTGACTTTTGTCACACGATGGGCATGTTCCATTTTGAATGGAACACAGAGAATGACCAAAATAGAGTGATTCTAAGAGTGCCAAGCAACTTTTTATTCTTTTATTTTTTATGTACAATGTCACATTTGTTTCTTTTGGACTGATTATACGTTTTGGTTTCCCCTCTAGAATGGAGTTGATCCTATGGATAGAAACATGGAAAAGCCAAAAACTTTGGATGATGTAACTGATAAAACCAAACCCTGGCAGTTGGCCGAAATTATAGATCCTGCTCAATGCCGGCAGGTTACCATGCCAGACAACATGGATGCAGTCAACAAGGTGTGTTCCTACTCATTTGTTGCTGCAAAATCTATCTATTGGATTATGCTCGACTGACACATCTACATCCAGGTTGCTTGACTACTCTATACAAATTCCGGTTTTGGTGTTTTGGCACTTGGGTCTAATGGGATTCAGAAGTTATGGAAGTGGACACGCAGTGAACAAAATCCAGGTGGAAAGGTAATAGCAAGTTGGGAGTAATTTCATTTGCATGTTTTCCTGTTTCTTTTCTTTTATTAGTCGATATTTGTGGAGGAGAATTCTGAACTTGGTGAGGGTCTAAAGGCCACTGCCAATGTTGTTCCACAGCAATGGCAACCAAACAGTGGTCTTGTTATGACTAATGATGTCACAGGTGTCAACCTTGAGGAAGCAGTGCCTTGCATAGCACTCTCAAAGAATGACTCTTATGTAATGTCAGCCTGTGGCGGCAACGAACAATCTGGTTTGGGTTTCTTTTTAGGCTTGATTGGTTCAAGGACAAAGTTGAAACAGTATAAATGCTGAATTTGTTTCAACACCATGTCAAATCTGTGCACATGTTTAGCAAATATCCTTCTGTGTTATCCTTTTAATCACATTGCAGTTTGGTACTGTTATGCCATATTAGAAAGAAATTTGTTTCAACACAGTGTTCACTTTAGTTTGTTTTTTTTATGCATATGTCATTGTCGATGGATTGGTTGGTTTGTAGCTTGGTCATCAAGATGAGAACAGTGAGATATATAAAAGCATAATGCTAAACTGTGTCAAGTATTTAAATAAATCTTTTTCTATTGATCCTCATTATTTTTATTACTATTATTATTGTTGTTATTATTAATTTTACTACCATGGTGCGCTACATTTGTATCTTTGAAATTATCTATTGATAGAAGAATTAGAGATTTTGTTCTTGGCTTCTCAAAATTAACTATTGATTGTAACTATGAATCTTTTAATTTTCTATTGTCAAATTTTATAAATTTGACCTTTAATAGAATTGTTCCCTTAGAAGATGAATTTAAGATCCTACATATTGTTATAAATTAATTTCTCTCTCTCTCTCTCACGTGTGTGCGCATGCCGTGGTGTGGCAATGAAGGGAGACATCCTGGAAGATCCAGCAAATGAGCCAAACAAAGATATGTACATGATGACTATTGAGCCAAAAGATGCACCCAACCAACCTGAGTAAGTTTGCTTGTTTGATGTGCATTTCAATTCCTTTAATTTAGTCAAATCTTGATTTATGCATTTGCTTCTTTGTTTTTTTCCCCCCATTATATTGTGCTTTTCAATATTTTGGTGTCATGCTGATAAGTGTATATAGCAATAGGGGCGATGCATTGAGCGAGTCCTGTTGATGAGCCTTAAGCTTTCTCCACCCCTTTGTGTGTTTTTTTGTGTGGTTATGCACTCATGCTCCTTTTACATGTTTGGGGATGTGCTTTTCTTATAGTACTCGTGGTTGTTAATGTTATTGCCCAACAAAGAAAGTATTTGTATCAAATTGCAGCTTAAAGAAGCTATATACATCTCTTAAAATTATACCAGGAATTATGCCTGATAAGTATTGAAAATATGTGTCAAATATGGGAAACAATGGCAGTATAATTAGAGAGAGAATCAACAAGAAGAAAAATGAATGGTTTTGCCAATATAAAATGTAAGTTGCAGTCCTCAGGCATCAGTTGAGCTTGGAAGGATTTCTGTGTCTGTGCTCATCTTAGGTGCACCTTACCCTACCATACCTATGAAGAATAATCATCAAAGTAGCTTGCACTTGCAAAATAGGCATAACAGCAGCTGAGTAAAATCCAAATTAGAAAATTTTATGGTGTAAATAGACCTTGTGTTGTGGGAGATTAGCCCAAATGCATATAACTTGCAATTACACAAACTTCCTTTTAGAAAACTTTATGATTTGTTTTCTTGATGTATTCTTGCGGACGAATCACATATACCAAGCTAAGTCGGAGTATTGTTTATTTCTCAAGATCAAACATTAGATCATCTCTGTCTGGACTATCCTATATTCTGCTGGATTTTGTTTTAGAAGGTGCCTCTCGACTGGTCTAAATATTGATTCCTCATATTAAGTAAAGGGTGGGGAATGAAATGCAACAATGTCATTTTTTGAGATTGTTCCATCGTATGGGAGGGGTCAGGTTGAAGGCATTGATTAGGACTTCTGTTTAAATATTATTCATTTGAATTTTAGAGTTTAGAAGTGAATTGAATGAGGTGGGTAGTTTAAATATTATTCATTTTTTTTAAAAATTTTAAATTGTATTTCTTTATTTTTATTTACTTTTTGTTTTTATGTCCAATACACCTACTTAGACATACAATAAACAAGTACATGTAAATAATCAAATTTACTATATGAGTATGCACTTCACTTTTATGCATAAAATGCTATATTTTAGGAAAATACTCTACATAAACAGATTTTTTTACTAGAGTGCTGCTCTACGTAAATGGATTTTTTTTATCAAGTTTTTATTTTTTATTTTACACAGTTAATAGTCCAAATTAATGAATACAAGTGAGACCCATTGTTTTGTGTGTAACAGTAAAAAAATCTAGTGAAAAATCTGTTATGTAAAGAATTTCCTAAAAGATTAAAGAAGTATTTACCAAATGTAAACCTCATTGTATAATGATATCTTGACTTAAAAATTAGATAAATCCCTCATCTAGAAACATATTAAAACGACATTGACACATGCCATATCTAAGTCTATGTAACTTAGAACCAAGTTGCAAACGAGCAATTATGTGCACTTTTTGCAAACAATACATGATCGTATAGATGATTATGTTTTATTTGTTTCTAAAAGACTATAACTTTTGGCAGCAACAGCAGCAACAACATTTCAAATTTTAAGGAAATTGTGGGGTCTGAGGTAAATGGAATTTTGTACAAATATTAAGTATCTTTTGTTTGCTCTTTTTAAGTCCTAATTTGAACATCTCTCTCTCTTTACTGTGCAGTTTTGATCCATCATTGAGTTATGAAGAGCGGGAAAAAAGGAAGAGACAGGCTGTCGAAAGAGCTGTTTTTCTCCAGGATCTGCTAGTCTCAACTCTGTCAGTATCTGTTAATCTGTTTTTCTGCTGCTGTGTGGCTGGTCTGCTACTCTGTATCTGATGCTAATCTGCTAATCTGCTGTGTATCTGCTGCTGTTTTTGGCCTCTGCTAGCACTAGGTTGCATGCCTCTATTTGATTTGTTTGTATTTGGATTAGGTTGCATGCCTCTATTTTGATTTGTATATGCTGTATTGCTGCCTCTGTTGGTTGCTGTATTGTCCATGCGCTGTAAAAAGTGCATGTAATGCTATACGTACGAAGAAAACTTGCAAAATGATCTGGCATGTCAGTAACTGCCTTCTTTTTAAAACACAGGTTGATGTGGGTGTCACATCAGGTTGTAAATAGAGTTTTTGTACAAATTTTAAGTAAGTGAAGCATTTTAATATAATGGAAGAACATTTTCCTTAATTCTGGTTGACCAACTTAGTTGACAGTTCTGGTTGACCTTTGAATGGCTAAAATATATTTGCTTTTAGCTTGCCACTGCTCAATGCATGTGATGTGGAATATCTAGATGATGGCTCTGATTTGATTAAAAAAAAAATGCTTGCAAAATGCAAGTAGTGTGCACAAAACTGCGCAATGAGGTGCGCAAGATAGCGCGATAAAATGCTTGCAAAATGCAAGTAGTGTGCACAAAACTGCGCAATGAGGTGCGCAAGATAGCGCGATAAAATGCTTGCAAAATGCAAGTAGTGTGCACAAAACTGCGCAATGAGGTGCGCAAGATAGCGCGATAAAATGCTTGCAAAATGCAAGTAGTGTGCACAAAACTGCGCAATGAGGTGCGCAAGATAGCGCGATAAAATGCTTGCAAAATGCAAGTAGTGTGCACAAAACTGCGCAATGAGGTGCGCAAGATAGCGCGATAAAATGCTTGCAAAATGCAAGTAGTGTGCACAAAACTGCGCAATGAGGTGCGCAAGATAGCGCGATAAAATGCTTGCAAAATGCAAGTAGTGTGCACAAAACTGCGCAATGAGGTGCGCAAGATAGCGCGATAAAATGCTTGCAAAATGCAAGTAGTGTGCACAAAACTGCGCAATGAGGTGCGCAAGATAGCGCGATAAAATGCTTGCAAAATGCAAGTAGTGTGCACAAAACTGCGCAATGAGGTGCGCAAGATAGCGCGATAAAATGCTTGCAAAATGCAAGTAGTGTGCACAAAACTGCGCAATGAGGTGCGCAAGATAGCGCGATAAAATGCTTGCAAAATGCAAGTAGTGTGCACAAAACTGCGCAATGAGGTGCGCAAGATAGCGCGATAAAATGCTTGCAAAATGCAAGTAGTGTGCACAAAACTGCGCAATGAGGTGCGCAAGATAGCGCGATAAAATGCTTGCAAAATGCAAGTAGTGTGCACAAAACTGCGCAATGAGGTGCGCAAGATAGCGCGATAAAATGCTTGCAAAATGCAAGTAGTGTGCACAAAACTGCGCAATGAGGTGCGCAAGATAGCGCGATAAAATGCTTGCAAAATGCAAGTAGTGTGCACAAAACTGCGCAATGAGGTGCGCAAGATAGCGCGATAAAATGCTTGCAAAATGCAAGTAGTGTGCACAAAACTGCGCAATGAGGTGCGCAAGATAGCGCGATAAAATGCTTGCAAAATGCAAGTAGTGTGCACAAAACTGCGCAATGAGGTGCGCAAGATAGCGCGATAAAATGCTTGCAAAATGCAAGTAGTGTGCACAAAACTGCGCAATGAGGTGCGCAAGATAGCGCGATAAAATGCTTGCAAAATGCAAGTAGTGTGCACAAAACTGCGCAATGAGGTGCGCAAGATAGCGCGATAAAATGCTTGCAAAATGCAAGTAGTGTGCACAAAACTGCGCAATGAGGTGCGCAAGATAGCGCGATAAAATGCTTGCAAAATGCAAGTAGTGTGCACAAAACTGCGCAATGAGGTGCGCAAGATAGCGCGATAAAATGCTTGCAAAATGCAAGTAGTGTGCACAAAACTGCGCAATGAGGTGCGCAAGATAGCGCGATAAAATGCTTGCAAAATGCAAGTAGTGTGCACAAAACTGCGCAATGAGGTGCGCAAGATAGCGCGATAAAATGCTTGCAAAATGCAAGTAGTGTGCACAAAACTGCGCAATGAGGTGCGCAAGATAGCGCGATAAAATGCTTGCAAAATGCAAGTAGTGTGCACAAAACTGCGCAATGAGGTGCGCAAGATAGCGCGATAAAATGCTTGCAAAATGCAAGTAGTGTGCACAAAACTGCGCAATGAGGTGCGCAAGATAGCGCGATAAAATGCATGCAAAATGCAAGTAGTGTGCACAAAACTGCGCAATGAGGTGCGAAAGATAGCGCGATAAAATGCTTGCAAAATGCAAGTAGTGTGCACAAAACTGCGCAATGAGGTGCGAAAGATAGCGCGATAAAATGCTTGCAAAATGCAAGTAGTGTGCACAAAACTGCGCAATGAGGTGCGAAAGATAGCGCGATAAAATGCTTGCAAAATGCAAGTAGTGTGCACAAAACTGCGCAATGAGGTGCGAAAGATAGCGCGATAAAATGCTTGCAAAATGCAAGTAGTGTGCACAAAACTGCGCAATGAGGTGCGAAAGATAGCGCGATAAAATGCTTGCAAAATGCAAGTAGTGTGCACAAAACTGCGCAATGAGGTGCGAAAGATAGCGCGATAAAATGCTTGCAAAATGCAAGTAGTGTGCACAAAACTGCGCAATGAGGTGCGAAAGATAGCGCGATAAAATGCTTGCAAAATGCAAGTAGTGTGCACAAAACTGCGCAATGAGGTGCGAAAGATAGCGCGATAAAATGCTTGCAAAATGCAAGTAGTGTGCACAAAACTGCGCAATGAGGTGCGAAAGATAGCGCGATAAAATGCTTGCAAAATGCAAGTAGTGTGCACAAAACTGCGCAATGAGGTGCGAAAGATAGCGCGATAAAATGCTTGCAAAATGCAAGTAGTGTGCACAAAACTGCGCAATGAGGTGCGAAAGATAGCGCGATAAAATGCTTGCA